GTAAGTTGATCAATTAGAATTCCCCAACTAAAAATCTCCTTGCTTTGTCTATCTATTCAGACCTTTAATTTATCTCTTTTTTATCCAAATATCCAAAACACTATCCTGTTGAGGATGAGTGTTGAGATTAGTTATAACAACAAAGTCTTGATTGCAAGTCTGATTGTGATGAACCTCCTGTTCCTTCTATTCCAACGAATCAGGGGTGTCTTCCAGAGTCACTTTCAAATATAATTTCTTTTTTCCTGCAATTCTCATGACTCCAAGGGCAGCTTGTACCGTTTTGTCATTTCTTTGGATTAGGGAAAGCTGAACCATGATGTCTAAATTGTTCCAAATATTTAGTTTCATTGAAGTCATAGGATGCATATGTTACAAATACGTCTCACTTTTTCATTCACTTTCTCTAGCCTGGTTCCATCCCAATGGTTTTGATAACAGCTTCAACCACCATGCAGAAAATGAATTATGAACTAGAAAAGTGAAGCACGAGGTTTGGGGAAGAAGTGGTAACAATAGGAAAATGTCTACAAATGACATTTCACCTTTCTCACTGTTAACCATAGAGCAAGAATGATCCAGATTCTACCTTTGATGAAGACAACTTGGCTCATTGCATTGCTGACCTCTTTATCGCTGGGATGGAAACGACTAATGGCACTATGCAATGGGCACTGCTACTCATGGCAAATCATCTGGATATCCAAGGTGACAGTAAAATATGGTTGGCTTTGACAATTGAAGTTAAAGGAAAAGAACACAAATTTAGCAGCTTTTCGCTTATTTTTAAAAGGGGGGGAATCATATGCAGCCTGAAGAGACACATGTTCTACTGGCTAAATAGAGCTTGTTCCTTTGTCTGTTCTTACAGCCTTGATATTAGTCTCCTTATCATTGAAACTCGCTCCCATCAGCCCTCTTTAGGTTGTTGCACACAGAAGTGAACACAATGTTCTAGGAGGAGAATCCCACACAATGTTCCAGGTGTGCCTGCTTGAGTGATTTGGATCACAGATGTGATCTTCCAAGGCTGGTGTTGAATGAATCTTCCAATAGATGTAGGGAATAATAGGAGATCTCTAGAAATAGTGGCTTCCCAGTGTTCTTTGCCTTGTCTTCTCAGCTTTAATGCTTCCTGAAGTCTCAGTTGTTCTGGGGCTGATGATATGGTGAAGTTGCACCCTATTTGTTAGGCTGCAGTTAGCCCCTGGGCTTATCACATATTCGGCTGTTGTGCTGTGTGGCTGTGAGAGAGAAAATGCAATCCTCATTTCTGGAAGGTTTTTTTCTCCAATTTACCTACAAAGTTCCAGGAGAAATAATCCCTGATACAGATAATTGAATTTGAATAGATTAGTTATGCTGGATGCAGTGATCTAAGACAGAAGCAGTTCTTTCAATACCTTGTTTTTAAAGGGACAGTAAGAATAATGTACTCTCCTGAACAAGGAAAAGAAATCTGAAAGACAAGCAGCCCAGAATCTTATGAGATCCTTGTACTACTGCTTGCATAAGAATTAAAAATACTGACAGATGAGATTGCAAAAATAAAACAAAATAACCAGGACACCCAATCCAGATAATGTATTGCTGGCTTGTTGTTTTTGCACATTAATTTTCAGTGTTCCATCAATGGGTGCTAATAACTTTTTGTTGCTCTCAGGATTTTATATTCCAGCTTATTTTTTATTCAGAATCTCTTTCAGGGCAATTACATGAAATAATTCTGGCAGAAAAATATACCTCCAATTTTTCTTTCTTCTTTTCTGAGATAAAAGAATCCAGAATAACTAAGTTGTTATCTCTCTCACCTTTTTTTTTCAGATAAGGTGCACAAGGAGATCAAAGATGCTTTGAGTTCATCTCGTTCCATCTGTTATGGAGATCGGAAGAATCTGCCCTACACCAATGCTGTGCTTCATGAGATCATGAGAAGCAAATACATCGGATTATTTGGAGTACCAAGACAATGTACAAAGGATATTTACCTCAGTGGGTTTCTCATTCCTAAGGTATGCATTTTTCTGAATTCCGAGATTTGCATTCTAAGATCTGGATTTACATACGAGAGCCCTGTTGATCTTTACTCTATGCTAAAATGTGGTTAGCATACTAATGGGTGAAGTGAATTAGGCTGACAGAGTGTGATTGCTCAAAGTCACCTACCTGACTAGAAGGCACAGTCTCCTGGTTTCTAGACCAACACCTTAACCTCTTCACCAGTGGTTCCCAACATGGGGTCCATGCAATTTGATTTTTAATAGGGGCAAGTTGAACCTTGTTTAAACCAAGTTACTGGCCTTTTAGGCTTCCTCCATGTGAGTAGAGTTCACTTTTTGAGTAAAATAAGAATTATATGTAGGTGGGGGGAGAGACAGAACCAGGATTTTAGAGATACTTAGATGGGGCATGGCCAAAAAAAGGTTGGGAACCACTGCTCTACACCAATTTGCCTCCCTTTCATTGAAGAATGCTCGAATGCTAGTGAAATGCACACTTAATACTCCTTGGCAAACTTCTGGCTTATGATACCAGGCCCACTTGCATCCTAAAGCTATCTTCCAGTAGCTCACCTGGGAAGCTTTACTATGTTATTTTTTGGTTAAATGTTTAAGCCTCCTTCTGTAGCCTTTTTCCATTTACCTGGTTCAGTAACTGACATCCATTCACATCTATCATTCTTCCACTTGTTCCCTCTTAGTAATATAGAACTAAATTCATGGTGGAAACCATTGCTTTAGCCTCACTTTCCCCTTCTGATTATTATCCCTGGCTGAGGTCAGGGTATGAATGAGGATTACTTTTTAAGCATGGGGTCTCTAGTTGCCATTCAGTTGGAAATGGGGAACAGCATCCTGCCACTCCAAGTTAAGTACCCTCCCTTTGGTCAAAATAAACCATTCTATATTTTTCAATAGTTGCATACTACCATCCAGGATCCTGTACCTCTTTTACTATTGCAACTATCAAACCATCAGTGCTTCCTACTTTTACAACTGAGTTGATTCGCTTTTCTTTTGGAACACATGCATAAGCTTTAGAACTGTCCACTTTTATTTCTCACAGTCTGGGTTTCTTTCCAGGATGTAGCTCATCAGATGTTGCATTAGTGCATTGGTTGGGAGCCTATTCTGCACTCCTATAATCGCCTCTCTTAACTGCTTCTTCCCAATATTTAGTTGCCAGTTCGGCATCCTCCACAGTGCATTACATCATTTAGACAGGAAGTGAGTTTTCCTTCTTATCCTGCTACTCTTCTTCCAGTCACAGTAGTCTTACACAAAATCCCTTGATGTTTTGGGAATACCAACAGCAAGTAAATGGACTTATATATCACTTCACAGTGCTTTACAGCCCTCTCTAAGCAGTTTACGGAGTCAGCCTATTGACTCCAACAAGCTGGGCCCTCATTTTACCCACCTCAGTAGGATAGAAGGCTTAAACTGCCAAATTGCAGGCAGCTGGCAGTCAGCAGAAATAGCCTGCAGTACTGCATTTTAACCACTGTGCCACCATGGCTTTTTGCATTTTTCCTGCTATTGGGGGAAAATGCTTTTAGATTTGTTTAGAAGATGAGCAGTGAAGTGGTACAGTCTGCTACAATATAGCTGTTTTAGGGGACTTAAAGCAAAAATGGAAAATTAGCTCATACAATACAAGTCCTTGGGAACATAAACTTTCTCAATGGTGTATAAATGGTGCGTTCATTCTCCCAATTTGTCTCCCCATTTGCTTTCATGAAGGAAAAGGTTGGGAGTTAAAGTCTGTGTGGGGAATCAGGATCTTCACTGGAAAAAAAAAACAAGAGCAGGAGCCATGTACACCAATTTTCCTGAAGCAGATTCATAGCACAGGACATTTTCCATGTAAATTATTGACTTTTAGACATATTGAAAACAGATGAGAATGTCAACCAAATTCCTGAGGACAGTAGCAGACTATTTCGGCATATGCAAGAGCATAGTGAACAGCTGCAAAGAGTCTGCTGTACCTGGGAAACTGAGCATTATAATGCAAAAACAGTATGAGATAAACAGACGAACTCAGCTTGTCTTGACGTTTTCATTTCATTCTTTCATTTTAGGGAGCTATCATTTTACCAGAACTGCGCTCTGTTCTCTTTGATCCTGAACAATGGGAAACACCTGAGAAATTCAACCCCAATCATTTTCTGGACAAAGAAGGACACTTTGTCAGAAAAGAAGCATTCATGCCCTTTGGAGCAGGTAATGTGCAGGATTTCTTTTGCTTGTAAGGAAAGAGTTTGGGACTCTCCCAAAATGTTCATTTGAAAATGCAGATTAAAGAGCAAAATTCACTCTATATCTTCTGGGCATTTGAACAATGGTAAAAATTAAAGGACTTTTTTCCACAATAGGTAATTGTATCAATGGAGGGGGGGTTAGTGTATCATGAAAACTGTAAGAACTGTTTAATGATGCAAATCCCCATGATGTCAGATAAACCCCGGTTAAACTCAATATTGCATACAGCTATATTAGCTGTAGTCAGTGAGTTGTGTGGTGAGTCCTTGAGGTTACCTAATTCTTATTTCTCCTGAGAAGAGGCAAAAGTCCCAGAGAAGTTCTCAAAAGAATGAGACCTCATTATTCTGTGTCTTCTGGTTCCTCCACCCGCATCCATAGAGCCCTTGGCAGGGTTAAAAATTATTGGAAATAAATGGGATGTGGGATCTTCCAAGGACAGTGACTCAGAATATGACAGCTGAGTTAAGTTAGAGGAAAACTCCAACAAAGAGTTAAAGAAAACAGCTCAAATCTCACAAGTAAAATCTATTCCTGAATCCTGTTGGAGGGTAGAATGAATTGGAGGGGAGGATGGCAGTCATTGGGGATAAAAAGAGTTCTTCAAATCACTTTTGAAAATATCTGAGTCACTATTTTCTAGGGACCCTAATCTATCCATCTGCCCTTTATGAACTTGCTAGATTCTTCCTTAAATGTAGCCACTTCTTTTCATTGCCTAGTATATCAAAATTCTACAATGTATTGGAAAAGAGATTTGTGAAAAATAAATACTGGTGCAGATGTTGAAACACATTAGAAGCTGGAGAAAGATTTCTTCCTCTTTCTTGAGACTGAGGTGCTAGTCTCAAGTTAGGGATTCCTCCTGATATGATATGGAAGAACAGTCAGATGCTACTCAGCCTAAGCCAGACCTCTTTCACTAATGAGTAAATGGAAAAAGGGAGCAAAAATGATTAGCAGAATGGATTTCTACTCATCATTCCCCACAGGTGTCTCCCATCAATATTCAGTCTCCACAATTAGAAATAGAAGCTTGGATTAGTTAAGCCTTTGCTCTGAACTGGTACATCTTTTCTTTGTTTATTTCATGAAATTTATTCTAACTACCCATTCCATGGACGCTATTTTTGTTATTTGGTAGAGGTTACGGAGTGAAGGAGGCCTTGCTCCATCAATATGAAATATATTTTTTAGATTGTTGCTGAATAGACACTGATTGGGGCACAAAGGACAGGTATACGTATATATACATATTACTACTACTAATGTTCTGTTTTTACATCATTTTCACCATAGGTGCTCGGATCTGCTTGGGAGAACTCTTTACAAGGATTGAGTTCTTCATTATGTTCACCAGCCTGCTGAGGAAATTTAGGGTGCAGCCCCCAGAAGGAGTGGAGAAGCTTAGTGAAGAACCCATAATAGGAGTGACTGTGTATCCTACTCCTTACAAGATCTGTGTTATTCCTCGCTCTGCTACATCAGAGTAGGGAAGAACAACAGAATGGTTTGTTTATTTATTTTTGCACATCTTACTATATTTTTCTATTTCAACAAATTGTCAGACCATTATTGAAAAGTGTATAATTTGAAACAATTGTTATCATTAAGATCAATTTTTGAATTGGGACTGGAAGCAAACTGTATTCTGTAAGGTGAGAAAATATTCTCCTCGTTTCACCCACATAACATCTATCCTCCGCGAGCTGCACTGGCTACCTGTCGATCTCCGGGTAC